CCCCACCCACACACACACTATTAGACATGTGCAAAGACTAAATGAACGGAAACTAGAAATGTTTTCATTAGTTCCGTCAAATGAAACAAATTTTTATGCTATTTGGTGCCGTCATCCTGGAGGTGGGGCGCATGACGTCACATGACGCCGTGCATGCGTGGCATGGGGTGACATAACACGGCTGTTGGGGGGCACAATTTTCTGTTCTTGCCTCGGGCGCAAAAGGAGCTAGCTACGGCTCTGTTGCCACCTGTGCAATAAGTCCATCCGTGAAATTTCCTTGCTACTAAATATTCGACGGTCAACTGTTAGTGGTATTATAACAAAGTGGAAGCCACTGGGAACAACAGCAACCCAGCCACAAAGTAGTGACCCACGCAAAATGACAGAGCGGGGTCAGCACATGCTGAAGTGCACAGTGTGCAGAAGTCGCCAACTGTCTGCAGCGTCAATAGCTACAGACCTCCAAACATCATGTGGCCTTCAGATTGGCACAACAACAGTGCGTAGAGAGCTTCATGGAATGGGTTTCCATGGCCGAGCAGCTGCATCCAAGCCTTACATCACCAAGTGCAATGCAAAGCGTCCAATGCAGTGGTGTAAAGCACGCCACCACTGGACTCTAGGGAAGTAGAAACGTGTTCTCTGGAGTGACGAATCACGCTTCTCTGTCTAGCAATCTGATGGACGTGTGTGGGTTTGGCGGTTGCCAGTAGAACGGTTCTTGCCTGACTGCATTGTGCCAAGTGTAAAGTTTGCTGGAGGGGGGATTATGGTGTGGGGTTGTTTTTCAGGGGTTGGGCTTGGCCCCTTAGTTCCAGTGAAGGGAACTCTTAAGGCATCAGCATACCAAGACATTTTGGACAATTTCATGCTCCCAACTTTGTGGGAACAGTTTGGGGACGGCCCTTTCCTGTTCCAATATGACTGCGCACCAGTGCACAAAGCAAGGTTCATAAAGACATGGATGAGCGGGTTTGGGATGGAGGAACTTGACTGGCCTGCACAGAGTCCTGACCTTAACCCGATAGGCCGCCTTTGGGATGAATTAGAGGGGAGCCTGCGAGCCAGGCCTTTTTGTCCAACAACAGTACCTGACCTCACAAATGGTCAAACATTCCCATAGACACACTCCTAAACCTTGTGGACAGCCTTCCCAGAAGAGTTGAAGCTGTTATAGCTGCAAAGGGTGACTAAGACTGGGATGCCATTAAAGTACATGTTCACTCTTCAATGATATGTAAACATTTATGCACAGCACTAAATATTCACAAAATAATATGATATATGTACAAATTCAAGTGATAAAGTCAATATAAACTATAAACACCAAAACAATCCCAATAATGATATTAATATGCAAAACATTTTTTTCATCAAGGTGTTGCTATATTCAGTAAAATGTATAAAAACAAGAACTCCTAAGGTGCATTAAATGTGACCATTATTATTCCAATAATATAAAACATCCGTGCAATATATAAAAAGCATCGGGGCTTGTTCACACCAATTGCGGTGTGTCCCAGAGCGGTAGCTGCTGGAATGCACTGTAATTGCACACAAAACTCCCCCCTTCGTTCTGGGGTGGGAGGGGGTGTGGAGGTGCTTTGAAGTCAATAGCACTGCAGCCACTCCCCCTGCCCGCAGTGCGATTGGACACGTGGCAAAACATTGCGTTCCATTCCACTGCAAACGCAAAAAATGCTGCATGCTCTATTTTTTGCATTCACAGTGGACCAGAACGCAGGCAATGTTAGACACACCGCAATTGGTGTGAACAAGCCCCGATGCTTTTTATATATTGCACGGATGTTCTATTTTAATTGGAATAATAATGGTCACATTTAATGCACTTTATGAGTTCACAGATGTTTTTGTACATTTTACTGATTAGGGCACTATCCCCGGAAATCGGGAATGATTGGGGACAGTGCCCAGATTGAGGAGACCGTCCGACCAGATAGTGCAATGCATGTATAATATGCAAATGTAGGCACACATCTATTCAGCATATTCAGGGTCCAGACACACCATATCTAGTGCGTTCCGGTGCGGTTCGAGCCCGGTATGCACTGGATCGCATAAATCAAGCAGGGCCGCGTTCAGGGGCTGGGGTCTGTGTTGGTGCCATTCATGCCTCCCGCCCGCAGTGCAATCGCCCACACCGGAACACAAGGTACAGAAATGCCCTCCGTTCCAGTACAGTGCAATCTGAAAAAATGCATCTATGCGATCCAGTGCGATTCGAGCCCGGAACGCGCTGGATCACATAGATGCCCGAAACGCACTGGATATGGTGTGACTGGGCCCTCAATGCTAAGTAATTTTATTCTGCTGTTGTAAGGTATATAAAAATAATAACTGTGCTACTAATCTCTGCAATACAGCAAAAATAGTTTTTAATTGTACAGTACATGCAGCACAAAACAGAATCTTGTGTGCCGTGTTATTCATTTAGAGACTTAGACAGGGATATTCACAAATGGGTGAAGAATTTGGAGAGGACAGGAAAAGTGAACGATCTAGGACAACATAGCTGATATGGAAAAATTAATTTTCCAGGTTTAGCTATGTTGTCCTAGATTGTTCACTTCTCCTGCCTTCTCCAAACTCTTCACCCTTATGTGAATAACCCTCAGATTCTTGCTGCCTCATACAACTCAAGTAGGAGGTGCACTGAAATAGAAATTTAAAAACCGAAATAAAAAAAATTGTCAGGCCGAACCCGAAACCGAAAATGTTTTTATTTTAATTTTTAATTTTATTAATTTATTATAAATTTTTTAATTTTTTATATTTATTTACTCGCGACCCAAACCCATGAGTTGAGAACCACTGCTCTATACTGAGTGTTCCTGTTCATTGATAACATGAGAACATAGTGTGTTTAGTATAACTACAATTATGAATGAACAGGAGGTGATGTAAATCACTCCCATTCATTCATAATTGAGGATATAGTACACATACCATGTCCTCAATCACTCAGTGATCGCTGAGTTTTTGCTCTCGCTCTCCTCTCTGACACGCTGTCACAGGAGGCTGAGCGAGCGGTGCAGGGAGGAGAGCTCAGCCTCCTGTGACAGCGCCGGCTTGTCTCCGCCCCCACACCGCTCTGCCAGACTGTGATAGGCGACTGAGCGGTGTGGGAGGAGAGAAACTGGCAGCTCACAGCGCTCTCCTCACGCAGCACTCGGCCGGCTGTCACACTTTCTCCCTCCCCGCTGGGACACAGACCAGCGCCCAGCGGGGAGGAAAGAAAGCAGGCATGTGCCGATGTATCGGCAGGTTAAAGGTCACTTTCAGCATTTAGCCAAAAGTGCCATTTTCGGCCGATATGTTTCGGCGGCCGATATATCGGTGCATCCCTAAACTCAAGTTATATCTCATTTTACAAATCATAAGCTGTGGCTGCTGTCTTCAGCTCCCTCCTTCTCACATTCTGAACACTGAATGAATTTGACAATGAATTAAATCAGATTCACTTTCATGATTCGATTCATTCAAACTCTGTATTGAGTTAATTCCCTGATTCAAATCAGTCACTCAGTAGCCCAGCCTATTGATCACAACACTCAGCCTAGTTTCTAATGTGTCACAGCAGCAAACTCACAATCTTCACGACTCACATCTTAATATTTGTTTAGTTTACTAATTTGTATTCAGATTCTAGTCCATCACAGGAGCGAGCTTGAAATGGTGACTGCTTTACAACACACACAGGGGCC